GTAGGGAAACTTAATTTCTATATATACACACAGGGAAATATTGATGATCAGAAGTATTTGAAATGAATGTCTTTATTTTTCATTTACCTTGAAATAATAAAAAATTTCAATGGAACATGAGATGCGAGTTGATTTGCACTGCTGTTGCTGAGAGGTGAATATAGCACATTCTAATAGATTGTCAGTTCCAATGACTACTCTTTGAATTTTTTGTACAAATTGCTCATCATCTTTCATTTTATCTTGAGTAATATCTTTTACATATAATGGTAGTTCATGTATTTTACAGCAAATGCTTCTGTTAGAAGAAATCACTTAGAATTTTGAGCCTTTGAATAATCCAAATTAGATCACTGCTGAAGCACAATTATATTCCCACATCACTGACTTTAGCTCCTGCTTACCCATAACAGTTTCAATTTCTCTCATCATCTCCTCTTCCACTGTGGGGTGTTCTGCAATCAGTATTAGCATAAAGAACAGTGTCACAGAAAGAGTATCAGGAGCAGCAATCATCATCTCCAGCACACACTGGTTCACATTCTCAGCAGTCAGATCCCCTCTGTTCTGAAAAAAAATGGGGAAAATGTTGATTGCTGACGTTTGCTGCCGACAAAGGTCCTATAGTAGTAGAAGGGGAAGAATCCAGAATATCTGCTTCAAACAAAAATAAAACCTTGACAGTCTTTCTATCTCATATGCTAAATAGCATTTATTTTTTGTGTTTTGGAGAAAATGAGAAAAATTATGTTTTGATGGGTGTGCATTATTTTACAGAAAAGCAGGAAAGCGAGACTTCTTAGCTCAGATTGTTATTGATTTATTGCCTTTCTTCACAGAGTTTGTGAGCTGTCGGAGATTACAGAAGATAGGATTTACATAGCATTTGAAGCCTTTGCAAACAAAAGGCAGTATATCAAGGTAAAACATAGTGGTTAGGGATAAGCCAAACGCAGAGTTAAATGCTGTGGAATGGAGGACATTCAGAGATAGATGCAGGGATTTTAAGAATGTTAAGTCATGAAAAAAAATCTGACAAGCACCTCTTCCTGAAAATGCAACTATTTGAATCACTGTAAAGGACTCAACTAATCTGTATCCTCTTGTGACAACATGACTTGCAGATAGATACATGAGGTTTAAGTTGCAAAGCCTGTGGTGTTAGTGACAGGAGAATGTCTGAAATATCAGAGTAGACATATTTTGATTATTTTTCCAATACCTGTGCAAAAATCAACTGGGATGCAAAATCCGTGTGTTCATCCAACTTTTCAACAGCGGAAAGCTTTTGTCGTTTCTGTTCTATTAAAGTTTCCATTGCTCCTTTCAGATCCTTGCTGAAAACAGATGAAATCCAATATATTGATAAATATCTGCAGGCCTTTACACTAGGATATGATTATAATCATAGAGATTATACCAATAAAAATGTCTAAGAATGGCAGAAATTAAGTATTCCTAAGAGTGGTTATATGATTCTCTGCAAAAGCAGTAAAACTAAAGGAAAGTGTTATTATTATTTTTATTAAATAATTGCCTGTTTGGACTGAAATTTTATTATCTTTTTTAAATAGGATAGACTGAAAAAGATGAAACTATGTCTGTAAATCCTATTGATGAATTTAAAACCTTTCCCAAATAATTTATTTATTTATATTTTGTACTGTATTTTATCAGTATATACAACAAACTTGGAGAACATGAAGTGTAATTGTTAGAAAAATGTAGATAAATGTTAGAAAATGTGTACTCTGCTGAAAGTAGAGTTGATTTAAATTTTTCAAATTTAAATACTTAGTAAACCTGTGTCAACAGTTTGTATTTCAGTGGTGGAAAAAGGCAACGTCCACCAATTTTTATAATTTTATGTGGGATTTTCAATTAGCTCCAGATTTGAAGGCAGTTCTTCTTTTAAAAGTAGTTTCCAAAGTTTTTGAAGGAAATCTTCAGGCTTTTCATTTGTATTTGTTATTGCTGGGATAGAAAATTTCACTGGGTTTTTAGGGGTAAATGCATTTAAAACTGCAAGCCTGGTAAAGTTCTCATTATTCGTAACATCTTATATGCATTGGGAATGGTGAATTGTCCTTTTTGACAGCTTTACCAGAAGAATATCAGAAGTTGTCATATCATGAGGTGGTTCTTTGCGTTGCTTTAAGTCCAACAATCTTTATAATTTTTTTTTTTCAGTAAAAACTTATGAATAAGTCCATTTTAATGGGATTGCTTTTAAAACATCAATATTTGCCTACAGGGGCTTTCTAGTAATTACTGGGCCACCACAGCTAGCCATTATTAGAATCACAGGATGAAGCGGTAAGCAGTGCCATAATAGAACTGGCAAGCAAATGTAACAAGGTAAATCTTGTGCCGCGTCTTTCTCTTAAAGCCTTTATGTTATATAGCAGTATCAAAACAATTCACTGCGCGTTTCATAAGTAGTACTTTCCTCTCCGTAGATGGAATCCAAATTCAAAATGAATGAACTGATTGCCAGTTCTTTTTATAGCCAATATTCTTTTTGGCAGAAGACAGTAAATGAGATCATAAAAATAGAAGAGACATTTGGTATTTTTGTAAACTGGAAGATGTCAAAATGTATTTGTTCCGTATTTAGGAAGAAAATCCTTGAAATGGATTATCATGCTGAGCACTAAGTTTTAACTCAGAAATGAGTTGTTGACTCAATTTATGTTGAGGGAACCAAAAAATAGAATTATGACCAGGAGTTAACTGCTGGGATAGTGCCAGTTTCCTTGTTTTGATGAAGTGTAGCTTACTATTTGACTGCTCTTGAATCGATAGCAAATGTAACTTCACCCTAATGATGGCTTTTCCTTGTCTGTTTGAACAGAACAGATTTAAATTTACTTTCATGTTTGAGCTGGCATTAACTAACATTTTTGTGAGTAAGCTATGACTGAATAGAGAAGGGCTTGAAATCGTCCCCTGAAATCAGCCACTTGTAGCATCAGTGGCAAATTTTCTTCCGTTGCTGTTTTGGGTCTGTAGGTAGGGGACTTCAGCCAGCCACCTTTGCAAGTTTCACAGTTTATTTTCAATAAGGCAGAGGAAAACATCAACGAAGATCTCCTTCATAGAAAGAATTGATTTTATGCAAATGATTTGTAAAACTGTTGATACTTACACTGCATCTTCATATTTCTTGCATAGCCAAGAAATCTTAAAAAAGATGTCGGGCTTTAATAAAAGTGCTTGCCAAGCATCAAAGTAGTTTTGAATCTTAAGTACAATGGCATGTTCTGAAAATAAATGTTAACAAAAACAGGATAAAATATAAATTTCAGTAGTCAAATAACACAAATACTTGCAAAAATTAATAATAAGGCCTTGTGTACTACTCCTGTTAAGTTCATAGGAATTTTATAAACAGGAGGTTTTAGTGGTTGTAGATAGCATTAGGAGTCATTTGTAGCACACAGTAGAAAAGGTGTAGATGTTTGTAAAAACTAGCTAAAGGATATAGTAGCGTGTCAACCAGAGCCAAATGGTCTTCCACAGGCAAGCTGAAGCAGAACTCTTGCAGCATATTGAAATGGGATTATTTAGACATTATGATAATATTATTTCTGTCGTATGGTTTTGAGGATGAAGAAATCACAGGAGACATGATTTATCAGGTGAACTATTTAAGGCAGTCATTTAGTCTGGTGGAAAGATTGCTCACATGCATAAAATATTGGCATTGTACCAATTTGGTACACAAAAATCTCTTTAGATAGTCCTGTTTATTAAGAGAAGTCTGACAGGCTAGTGCATATTTTCCATCATATAAAATTCTCTTTTATAACTAAAATCAATTACATTTAATTATATAGTGATATAAGAGTCTGTTCGTGCTCTGTTTTCTGAAACAAAACTGCTGAGTGACGTCATTGAGTCTTTCTTGGACATGCACTTTAGATCCACCATAAGGTATGAAAATAAAATTAGTACCATCTAAAGGGATCCCGAGAAAAAGCTTGTTAGATGTGTCAAGCATGATCCGTCTCATAAGATTCAACACATTGATGTTTCCTACTTCAGTGGTTACTTCCTCTAGTTTGTCCAGGTGATCAATCGTTGATTCAACACAAATCGCTATCATACGCACAAGACCAGGACCAGACAGCGCTGAAATAGACGTGCAAAATGATTGAAAGATTGGTTGATTTTCATACCTTGTTTATAACTTACCAACTGGTGATAACGGTGTCAATAAGTTGTAAAACATTACCATGTGGGTGAATAGTTCTGTAGCTTACTGATTTATCAGCTTTTGAAAGAAGAACATGTTTTGACTTAAAATGGCAAGGGATGCTGGATTTAATGCAGTTTAAGAGTTCAAAAGCAGTGGTCAATTCTGTTGCTGTGTAATTCAGTGGGATTTTGATAGGCTCCAGCTGGAATGGATTAGGATAATTTTTGAATGATCTTGGAAATCGTGCCACGAATACTCTATTTAAATTATTTTTCCATACAAGAATGCCTGTAATTGCCTCGATTTTAATCAAATATATGTTGAAAGATAATTAATTTCTTTTATGTTTTACTTTGCTTTACTTTGGTTTTCTGGTTTTAGAATCAATGTAATAAACCACTGTGCTCTCAGCTGGTGAGAATCTGTTCTGAGCCATGAAGCATGCAGTTTAGCAGTTTTGTTAGGAACACTGAGATCATTGGAAGCAGCTAATCTTAACTATATACAAATACTGAAATTTTTCAATTTGTGGAAATAAGGTGAATCAAAAAATTGCAGACTCATAACACTGGAATTTATTTATGTATTTTCCTATTTGACTTGAACCTAGTGAAATTAATTATGTCAATCTTTTTTTCTTTGTTACTACATTGATTCCTAGTACATTAAAGGGATTAAAAATAGTCCTGCTGTGCAGATCTTCTAAATTATTTTTGGAAATAAAACGCTTTTTCTTTTAATTAGAACAAGACAAAAATCTTTGAACTCAGTGAAGGCTGAGATAGGAACGACCAACTACGTTTGTAGAAATGCCAGTTGAGCTAATGTAAATGCTGCATTTGAAACATAGAAACATTTTTAAAAAAGGCTTGTGGGCATCGTTTAATTGTGTTTTAATTGGATGAGATTAAGAATCTGCAAAAGTATTTCAGGATCATTTCAAATAGCATAGCAAGCAGGATAAGTGTGAAACACATGTGATAAAATAATTCCATAGGGTATATAGAGAACTGATTTCTGTAATTTATGTATGCAAAAGACAAACAACATTTTAGAAAAAATAGACTGTGTGCTGCAGTGATCCAGTGCATTAATACACACTGATTTACCTTTGGTGAAAAAGGGTCGAATTTCTTTCCATTGTGTTGGGTTGTTATTAAATATGATCCCATTTTCATACATGCCAATGCACTGTAATCCAAGCTTGCTTCCAAATCGAGAAACATAATGCCAATGTTTCATTACATGGAACACACTCGAGGATCTGGGAAAGAAATACGGGGAGAAACAAGGCCAAACCAAAAATACTGTTTCTTAGATCGTACACAGAATTTTTAATCTGACATTTTATAGTTGCTCTGAAGTGCTGACTTGCATTTAATAATTTAATAGCAAGTACAGTGCTTGACATTGTGTTGTTCCTTTTACATAATTAAAAACTCAATAAATGCCTTCAGAAGAGGCAATAATTAGAGCAATAATGTATTCTGTTCAGATCTGTTAGAAAATGAGGTGTAAAATTTTTGACAGTTAACAACTTCTTGATTTGTATTAGATTACAGCTAGGCTTTTGTAGCTCTTTTGTCATTCCCAGACATATACAGAAAACATAAATATACATGCATCATTTAAATATGCAGCATTGTAATATGATGATATGCGTGGGATAAATATACCTAAAAGAACAAGTTAGGTCAATTCATGATATGTATATTTCTTTTTACAGTTGACATGGTTTATTTACACATGCTGGCAACCAGGTTGTGACCAGCATTCTTGCATTAAGATGTAATTTCCTTTAGAGGGAGCTAGCACTCCAGAAATGTTGGTGTCATGAACACCTGATCAACTGAAGTCCAACAAAAAGAAAGTTGTAATGGAGATTGAAATGAAATAATATGCTACTTTGTTTACCATGTACACTGTGGACCAAATCCTAGACTTCTTACATGGATTTAGTTTAGTTTTTAGTTTTTCAATCAGGCAGAGTAAATGGGGCTTTTGATATTTACTTTGGCAGTGCTAGGTTTTCACCATAATTTTGCATGACCAGAGGTAAAGTTAAAAGTGAGATGCTGCATGGTACAAAAAGACAAACATGGATTAAGGATTAGAGTAAAACTGAGGAGGGTGTATCTGCACGTCCGATCTGTCAAGAATTCAGCATATTCCCTCTCTCCTACACTTCTCCACATGTACTCGCTCTTCTAATTTCTTTAACGGGTTTTTGCACATCAACAACATTGTCTTTATTTCACAAACAAGAGAATATGGTATTAAATTGTGAAAGTTGTCCCCAGGAATGGAAAGGTGCTGGAGGCTCATTTACTTCCTTTCATTCCACATATCTACACGGGAGACACATCATTATGTTTTAAGGGAAGATTTTGATATACGACCTTGTTTAAGCACACCTTCCTCATGAAACTACTTAATGAAGTTCTCAGAAGAGAAGATCTATTGTAACAAGACTGTAGCCTCTCAGTATGATTAGATTTGATGGTAAAAATTCAGATGACCTTAGTGGAAATAGTGGAATATACTTTTACAGAATTCAGTTTATGTTTAGTTTTGCAGTGAATTTATGATCCACTGAAAACTTTATTCTATGCTATTGTGTTTTTAGTTTGTTCTTTTTAAAAGTTAAATACTAGTTCTTTATTTACAGTCAATGCTTTAAGCAAAAAATATCTGAAGAAAAAAGATATGTTGACTGTAAAGTCTGATGCAGCTGTAATGTTATTTGTCAGGACTCCTGATTTGTTTCTGATGAATTAGTAGTACAGAGAGTAATAAGAGTTCATAGCATTTTATGTTATCAAAACATCATAGTGCATTAGTTGATGTTGGCCACGCCTATGTAGGATGGGACTGTAAATAGCTTTCCTGTCATGATTACCTCTGTTCACATGGCAAATGCTGTGATAGTCCTCTAGACTATGTTGTCTTTCAAAAGCTTTTATATAATGAAAGCTAAGTCAGGATTGACTGATATTGGTAGTAAAAAGGTGGTGATCTTTTATCAATTACACATGGTAAACATTTTACTATTATGTTTTTTTTCTTTTTAATGGCTTAACTCATAAGCATCCAGAAGGTCCAATGTAAGTAAGTAACCATCCACTGGAGCTAATAAAAATCATATAAGCATTATGTTTAATACTGTATATAATCAAAGTCTACGGGTAATTCCATTAATTGGAATGGAAGTACTCATAATCCTATAACACTGCATTTGCTTTATTAACTTGCTGAATTGGAACCATAATCTCAAGCATTTACTCCCATTTTAAGGAGAAACTTAAGAACATAGGAAACTAAAATTTGGCTTAATCCTGCATTGTGGTCAGTCTAGGTTCTTGTATAGTATGTAATCTCGATATTAAATGGAATAGTAAAAGAGATTTATTTTTTTTTCAGCATTGAGCCACAGTGCTTAATCTTCCTTTCCATGAAGAAAATGAGAGAATTCACACAGACTTCAATAGCAGAGTCTTTAAAGAAGCAAAAGATTAGAAAAAGGTCTGTAAACATATAGAAGTAAAATGTTTCTGTTAGGACAATTGTTGAAACTAATAACTTCAATTCTACTTTAGGAAAAAAAAGTAGCAAAGAGATTGTAAAATATGAAAAAAAATCTTCATATTATTAAGTATAGGAAATAATGATTTACTTGCTAATTATAAATGTTTCTTCACCGCTGATCCAAACTCTCACAAATTCTCCATATGTCTTATTGTAGTAGTTGCAGGCATTTCCTACTCCCATCCAGAGAAATCTGGCATGTGAAATGAGGGGACCGATTCCCATACAGTATCCAGGTCCTAAGAAACAGAGTAAGAAAAATTTGATCTCAGCAACGATCACTGACAAGAATATACCTCTGAGCATCCCACTTTTGAAAGGAGATTTAAACATAACAGTCAAGGTCTGCGTGGGATAGTTCACATATAGAAATGCTATTCTGAAGTTCTGTCTTAGAGAAACTTGCATCTATATTGTTGCAGCCTCACTTTGTATCTATGGAAGCCCATAGTCCTTTCGGTGTATGTATTAGAAGAAATCACCTAGAAAAAAAATTGCATGTGGCTTACTAATTTGTCATTTTTAACAAATCCTTTGAGTGATCTGGGTTAATTGGTGTTGAAGTGTCATAGTAACACCTAGAAAAGTCAACATCCTTTTGATGTAATTACTTACATCTCTTTTAAAGTTGTTAATACTAGAACGAGAAAACATAAAGTACTTTACTGCTGTGAACTTAGGAAAGCATACTTAAGTAGAAGCTAAGAATGGATTAATAAACATTTAGACAACAAAATTCTCAAATCCTTCCAGTATAACTGAGTATCAAGTTTCCCTCTTACAACAAAAAGGAGACAGCAGAAGGAATGACTTTAATTACTTTTAGAAGGAAGTTTCCTTTTGCGGGAAAAGCTAAATTTGCACCTTTTGTCTGTAAAACATAAATTTAACTCCATAAAACAAAACAAAGTAAGTACTTACAAAACTTTTTATGCTGTTTAATTTTTTAAAAGTAGTTTATTGGCTTCACTGTTTACTAATAAGAATGCAAGACGCTGGATGACTTAAATACCCGTAAACTTAAAGCATAGTAATTTAGTTTTGTCTTCTTGTTGATTCATTTGGGCACTCAAGTAGAAAACATAACCTGCAAATCCTTTCCCCTGTTCTGTAACTTTCAAGGATCCTTTCCTTTGGCAAGGAAGGATCTTTTCTCAGAAATTCATTCAGGTGCCATTGTGTTGGTTTAGGATTATTCCTGCCAAACACCTTTGTGAGATGCATACACTGTTCTCATTCATGCAGTAGGTCACTGCGTCCAATGAAAAATAGGCTGAATCAGTAATGTCTGCCATAAGCCCACAAGACATTACAGAAAGGGTCCTCTGAAGGGGAAACCACTTAATGTTCTGTTCTGGAGGGTCTTCATTGCCAGACGTGGCAAGAAAAAAGTACTAGAATTTGAATAATTTCCTAGATAACTATTTGTTTTTAGTAAAGACAGTTTAGAAGCTTTAAACTTAAAACATATAAAAAGTAGTTTATAGTGCCCAGGAAAATATGGACATCTGGAATTTGTAAAATGATATTGTATCTTTCTAGCATATACATAATAAATCAGAAAACTATATGTCATATTTATATAGCAAAGCCAGGTTTATTGCAAAAGTTCTGAGGTTAGAAAAAGTTTGATTTCTTTTATCAGTTATTTAAAAAAGCTGTATTATTTAAACTGACTCAGTAAATTTTTTTAGCATACAATTATTATTCAACATTACTTCCTCACTTAAATTTGAAGAACAAAATGCTTTGACAGCTTTTAGGGGATACTAAATTTAATTTACCTGGTATTGATGAAGTTTCTTCGTGATTCCACATTAGAAACAGAAAGCACATAAGGATGAGTATGGGCACTGTGGCCGCTGGCATCTTATCCAGTACTAGGCTGGTGACGTTGTAGTGCATTGGATTCAGAGTCTCCAGTACTGTCTTTTCCATGAGATTCTGCTTTGGTTTAGAGAGAGAGAAGAAGGGGAGAGAGGCAGAGGTTTTGGGAGCTCAAAGATATATTCAGCTTTCCTTGATACCTCTCAACCCCGTTGCAGTTCTTGTAAATGAGCAGATTAGCTCTTGAGATAGCTTTATTTTATAATGGGAGTGATGGCCTGGGCTGCTTGCCAGACAAGGTACATCAGAAGTCAAAACAGACATGCAGCAGCCACTCTTCTTGCTTGGAAATAATAAAACTTTTCTGACCTTGATGTTGAAGCATTGTTTTGGATACTTTAGCTGACAGATCTCTGATATTGACTTGGCGGGCCAATAAGGAGGTTTACTCCTTGCAAATTTCTAACCAAAACACAAGAAATTAAACTTTCAGCACATGTGGAAGCATTGAGTTCACTCACAAGCTTTTATCTCTGTTACTTAGCCTTTTTCATTCTTGCATGCCTATAGTGCCAGAGTCCTTGAATTTCTAGAATAGCTATGGTAGTTTTTCATGATGAAGATAGAGTGTACTCTACGTTTTATGTGAAACATATTATTAATTTTTTGTCAATTTTTGAGCGTAATGTAACATATTACATTTCTTTATGGTTCCTCTGCTGAGTACTTTGAAAACAGAGCGTATGCTGTAATAAACAAGATTTTTTCCCTAGGCAGTAACCAGCACTTGGCACAGTAAAGAAAAAACAAGCAAATGGACAGGCCTGTTATGCATAGGGTGAGTATAAAGATTCCTTAGAAGTTGTTTTGCATGTTTTGACTTACATCATGAAATATGAGAGATGATTGTACCTGAGAAGGAATGTACCTGAAGGGGGCCTACAGGAAAGCTGGAGAGAGATTGTTTACAAGGGTGTGTAGCAACTGGGTGAGGGGCAATGGTTTTAAGCTATAGGAGGGTAGATTTAGATTAGACATTAGGTAGAAGTTTTTTTCTATGGTTGTGATCAAAGACTGGAACAGTTTGCCCGGAGAGGTGGTGGAGGCTCCATCCCTGGAGGCGTTCAAGGTCAGGCTTGATGGGGCTCTGAGCAACCTGATCTAGTTAAAAGATGTCCCTGCTCACTGCAGGGGGATTGGACTAGGTGACTTTTAAAGGTCCCTTCGAGGCCAATGCATTCTAGGATTCTGTATCATTCTCTGAATGAGAACTGACATAACCACAGAAAGATACTGTTTGCATCTGCACAGTAATTTATTAAGAAAACACCTTCTTAATTTTGCTATTAAAATAGTTAAGAATAGGTTTGCTTTGTTTCTTTGTCTGACAGTATTTCAAAACTGAAGGATTTATTTACTTAATAGGAAGCTTTTACAGGTTATTTTCAATAAGTGCTTTCTTGTTTATGTCGTGGTTTGGTCTCTCATTGCAGAAAAAAAGTACAGTTTACTTTGCAGTAACTGTCAGTGCTATAATTATATTAAGCTAACCCAAGAATGTGATAGATGCTTTCTAGATAGTAAGTGATTGGTAATTATGGTCAAAGTAGAAACTGTATAGAGTGCAGGCAAAACTCTGTGGAAGAGAGCAAGCAGTGGCTCAAAACCTTGCAGGTGCATGCAATGCTCCTGTATTTTGGAGGATTGCTATGCATGTCTCCTGGGGATGATGTGATCCAAAATAACCGTGACACTATGTGCTAGATGACCTTTTAGAAACTTGCATGCTATTCTAATAGCTAGCAGTACACCTCTTGTGACCATGTACATAGCACATCATGGACATATTCAACTGTTGTACTGTTCTGCATGTTGTGAAAAAAATTTTTTGTAATCACAGGTGGGTTTTTTATCATGTAATGGTGTTTATTATTTTCACTAATATACTGTTGCAAGCTAATAATGTTTGTTCAGTTCAAATAAAAACGCTAGCTTTACATTTCCTTGAGTACTATTGGTTAGCACAACAAAAGCACACCTGCATGTATATGTAAACAGTCATACTGGTTTCAGTCCCTTTAGCTATATTAGCTTACAGTATTATAGAGGGATAACTGCATTTAGGGCACATAGTTTCACTTTTTTGTTGTTGTCTCTCTGGATCTGGATGAACTTCATCTTTGTAATCCATTGCCACAGATAGAGTCTGATGTTCGTTGTTTTTAGTTGCCTTTTTCATCTCCGAGACATTCTGGTGTGTCTGTACAGTAGTTTCTCTGCCTCGTATTCCCTATGAAGAGAAGTATGTAGGTGATTATGCATACACCTATATGTACAGATGTGTATCTATGAATATTATATTGGTAAGTAAACTCTGCTAGACTTCAAGGTGCTGATATATTTGCAGTGTAGTTTGCAAGCCTGAGTCTCCTACTTTTATTTTTCTAAAAATTGACCCTGAGTTTTGATTTTAATTAGTGCTTAGTTATTCACAGCTAAAGCTTATCTTCGTTTCGACAGAAGAACAGAGGCAGGTTTCTACCTTTTCAAAATACACAGATTGTAATGGATTGGTTTTTAGCTTCTAGGTTACCTCAACTTCAGAATTTTAAATTTATTTTTTTTTGTAAAGGAATAAAATCTGTTTCAGTGTAACATGATATCCAGTACATCAGTGTGCACCTTGCTGTTTGATTTATAATTTTTATATCCTGTATCATGCTCTCACAGAATCACAGAATGTGAGGGGTTGGAAGGGACCTCAAAATATCATCTAGTCCAGCTGCCCTGCCAGAGCAGGATCACCTACAGTAGGTCACACAGGAACACGTCCAGACGGGTTTTGAATCATGTAGATAAAAGGTATTATATTAGAGAATCATAGAATGAGTCGGGCTTGAAGGGACCTTTAAAGGTCATCTAGTCCAACACCCCTGCAGTGAAAAGCACTGTATTAAATTTGAATTATTTTTGTACTCTCGAACTGACCAGAAGCAGACTTACTTTTAGTCAAAGTAGCTTCTCGAGCTCTTAAACAATTGGTATTTCTTGTATTCAGAAGTTCTTTGCCTCATTTCAATGAATATGATCAGATGATCATATTCGTTTCAATGAATATGATAACGGTTTACACTTATGACTTTTTTTTTAATTGCAAAAGCCAATTGGCCCATGAAAAATTCACCCTAATAATTTCAACTGAACTGCTCATCCTGCTTGTATCCATTGTATTTTTTAAGAATTGCACATGAGGTAAATTGCTCCTAATAAAAACTCAGCCAAGTGAATTTTGGTAGTAAGTAGTCACTCAATAGACTGAAGAAATTTAGAAAAGGAACAAAGCTAGAATGCCTATTGTGCATGGAAGAAGCTTCCACTAATCTTGCTCATTTTGTCTTGAAATTTTCTATAGGTAATTTTCCTTTCCTTGCATCTGGTTGAAGTTATGTGTCTGATCAGAGGGATTTGTTGGTTCTGATTGTTACTTATATGGTGGAGGGGCAACAGGGAAAAAAAACTTTAAAATCAAATAGTGGAAGGAAAGAGACTTACAATAAGGAAGTGCTTTTGTGACAAAATAGGTGGATGTGCACCTACGTCAGGCTGCCTGAACTGACAGTAGACGTGGATCTTAACCACTGGGAGAGCACGTGCCAGCAGAGGGCCCTTCAGATGACTGCTACTGAAGTCGTGACTGTAAAGCACTGCGAGAAAATTCTAGGTTCTTGCAAAAGGTGATGTGACCAATGATAGCAAGGTCCACAGAATAAAGTCCATATACCTATGCTGACCCATTTTACTCCAGTTGGAGTTTCGTACTTAATGACCGTGTCAGTAAAAGATCAAATTATGTATCATTATAGAACTGAAGCTGAAAATTTCTGATAATTGTGAGAAGCAGCTTAGAAAACAGCCTGAAAATCCTTGAAGAACCATTCTTGAGCAGTTTGGAGAAATAAAATTTTATGTAGAATGATTTCACACAAAAATAAGTTTATTGGTCTATATGAGCCCAGTAAGTATTTTTGCAGATAAAATGTTATAGCCTTCCTCTTTTTCTAGAAAATGATTCTCCATATTGCCTTTTTTTGACCAATTAAGATTGACAGTTGCATGACACTGTAAAGGTTCAGCCTTCTATGTGTAAGTATGTATGTAAGCTTTTGGTGTGCATTTCACAACCAGAAGGCTAATGTCTAGCCAGGTATGTAGTGATTTTCTTGAATTTGTCCTGTGGCTGCTGCCCAACCATGCAAGAGCACAGGAGGACAGTGGGTTACGGTGTCTGCACTGGTGTTTTAGTTTGTATTGGGTGTGCTTTGATAGTAAACCTTCAGATGATTCCTGTACTCCAGTATTCATTAAAAAGTATGCGAATTGGCATCTTTCTGGATGAAAATAAATCAGGTAATGTACTCTAAAGCTTTGTCTCATGCACACCAGTTTTTAGTGGGGATTCAAATGATAAAACCAGTTTAGAGCTATGTACATATTTCATAGGAGTTCATTTCAGTAGTGTGGGGAATGGATCATCACCAACTGTTTTGTTTTACAGATTTGCTCTTGTTCTACCTCAGTGTTTGCCAACATATTGTGTTACTTTCAGGCTATATCATTTTGACAAATAAAATACGTTTTTTTTCAATTAGTTTTAGTAATATAACTATCTTTTGCAGTATTTGGATTATAACACTTAACATAGCATGAGAACTGACTGTTAACTGCACGTCAAATCTTTTTAATAGATCTTGGGATGAATGATTTCTATACAACTATTTTAACATTGCCTTCAAATTGTGGGTTTCATTGCAAAGTCATAAACTTTTTCCCCAGCTGTTGAATAAGAAGTCATATGTGGAACTACTGTAAAATTAGTTACTTTTGTGTGGAACCTATTGTAAGAACCATAAAAAAGAATCTACTTTGTTGTTACATGGTTACTTTCCTTTTAAAAGTTTACTTAGTGTGAAGTAGCTAATTATCACCAAGTGCACAGCATATGTCACAAAAGCCTTGATGTAGAGATTATATTGCACCCTTGAAAGTCTGTGGAGTTAAAAGATAAGAACAAATCCAAGGACTTTTTTAAACCTGAAGAGTGTTTACCATTCTTTGTAAACTGAGCATCTGATTGATTCTGTAAGCATCAGATTGCATGT